CAACTCACAAAAAATGGCAGGTTTGAGTAGGTGAGATGCAACACCGCTTTTATGCAGGCCTTTTTTAGCCCATATACTCGTGGAGGTCAACCCCCAACCTATAGGCTAATCCATATTTTTTTAAAATTTTATTAATTATTGTAATTATATTATTATATGCCACATTGCCATCTCTCATGAAAAATTAGAGAAAAGCACCTAGATCATTTATTTGGTGCTTTCAACAGAATATTTGAAGGAGAAACAAGGATTTTGTTACATTTCTTTGAATATTGTATGAGAAAAAATATGAAAAATTAGTTTTTTTTTTTTTTTTTTTGAAAAGGTATAGGTAGGCCAACCCATGTGTAAGTGGCCTCGGGTTGGCTGAGAGGGTTAATCCGCGTTACTAGCCCTGCAAAATATACTTTAATGAAAACTACTCTTATTTGGGGATTTAACCCTCAGATTAGTTAGAATCTAATATGGCTCTCTATCACGAGTAGTTAACGATCAAAAACGAGGGAAAACAAATACCTGGTCTCTTGCGCTTCTTGTGTTGAATGGAGAATCAGGATTAGCTGAAGTGTACATAGAGTACCAACCCTGATGCACTTTAGGATCCATTAACCCAGAACCACCAAAAATTATAGGAGCAGGAACCAACAGAAACTGGAAATCGTTAATCCATTCCAATGTTTTTATTGTTCCTCTCCAAGCAATCACAATATCTCTCCTTCCTAACACAGCTTTGCCTTCATCTGTGGCCACAGCAACATACCCAATCCAGTTTGATTCCCTGCTCCAAGCTTCCGGTGACAATGATTGTATTATAAAAGCTTCAGGAACGGCGATTTGTGATGTTGCATACAGATATTTAGTCACACTATACTTGAAGGGATTCCCATTCTCCAAACCTACCCTTGTGAACAAGTTCCGCTTGGCGTACTTGCTTGCTCCTGCAAACTTGGAAGCTTTTTCTGAGATGAAAGTATCATAAGTGGCTTGTGTTCTTTCTCCATAGTGGATTATGTACCTTCGGAGATCAATGTCGAGAGGGTTTAGAAGATCCTCCCAATGATCTTGTCCACTTAGGATTCTCCATCTTTGGGCAATGCTCATCTTTGTGTGTTTCTTTATTTGTGTTTCTGTGTGGATACTTATCATCCACCACTTGCAATCTTGCCTTTTATAGATAGCTAATACTTCATTTGACGGATTATTTTTGAATTGTCTGACTTTCCCCTCTTTGAATTTTTCAATCCTTTACTTCAATATCTTTTGGGTGCGAATCTTATAAATGATAATATAGTTTATCATTTTGAGATGAACTATTAGTTTCGTAACCAATAATAATGCGGTTTGCACCACACATGATGCATAGTTTTGAAATGGTACAGATTGTCACTCTTAGTAGATCTTGACGGCAAATTGAGCTTTTATTAGCAAACGCCGACACTTCAATAATTTATATTAAAGAATTTTGGTAACAATTAGAAAATGTAAATATCGGGCTACAGGTATGCATTCATCATCAGTATTAAAGCAATTGCTCATAACTAGCAATTAAAGTTAATAGCTATCTTGATGCAAAATGAACAATAATTTGGAGGAACATTCTAGTGATATACTATCTCCAGTTCTTAATATAAAACCTTGTTTGACTTTTATTTTGGTCTTAAATATATGACTCTAATCCACTTTGTCTCTCATATTTATTTTAGGAAAGATAATACATATTTATTATAAATAACTAGCTTAACTTATTTTCTTAATCTACTCAAATTAGTCAACCGGCTCTTATAGTTAGGACTGGAGGTAGTATTCTATATTTAATTTACTTTATATTATCTGTTCAAACGAAGCAGATCTCTGCCAAATCTGATCATCATATCCCATATAATAATCTGACAGAATTCTAAATTAGGAAATTGGGAGTGTATAAGATGTTTCTTCATGTATGGTGCATCCAGAAATTAATTGGTGGACTAAAGTGTTATTGGCCAGAGAGATATAAATCCAAAAGGCCAAATATTACAAAGTTTAACGTTAACAAAGGAAGTAATGTTTTCGTAGACTTCCTCAAGGGTTGTGTTTTTTAAACTCGTAATAAACAAATGTAGTTGACTAAAAACAGTAAAAGATATATAAACATAGAAAAAACATGTAAGCAGTGGCTTAAGAAAATTTGAAAAATGAAATTACACTTAAGGAAATCTTTTTAGGTATAGCGTGATGTGAACAGAAATGTTTAATTATTATTATGAATAGTGCATTATTTTGAAATTCTTTTTGTGATAGCACACGTTTTTCTGGCAGAGGACACAGGATAGAACAAATTCTTCGGGCCAGATTATAAAATATTTGGGATCTAATCACTATTTTCCACAAGCGTTTTTGACTCGGGGGTATTTTATTACAAATTATTGCCACCTAACGCTGACAAGGACCAGCCACCTAAGGATCTAATTACTATGTGTTTTCAAAAAAATTGATATAAGTTTAATCTATTTTCCTATGACATTGAAGAAATGTATTATCCCCTTACAATTAATATGGACACTTTGGAGGGGAAAAAACATTATAAACCTAAGAGACAAGTTAGATTGAAGTTTTATATTTAAGATTGAATATAATTTTGAGCTAGTTCTTATATATACTAAAAACTGGAGTTTGAATCAATAAAAGATTTCTCAATCAAAGAGCTTTAAACAACGATATAGAATAGATTATTATCACCATCCAATCCAAATATCATGTAAAATCTGCTGTGTCCCAAGAACTAAAAACAATTTATGTTTATAGAAAAACCACCACCTTCATTGCAAAATACAAGTCCTTGATGATATGTGGAAAAAAAAATTCATACATATTAATTGCATTTCTTAGTATGCACGGCGAGATCTTTAAAGCCTTGTATTTTAAACTAGAGGGTGTAAAATAAAGTACTAGACTATAAATTTTACTGAGTGATTATAAATGTTAGAATAAAAATTCAGTAACATATCCATTATATATATATATATTTGAATGGCTTTTTCTTGTAAGATCATATTATATTTAGAAAATTTTCTGTCGTACTATGATGTTTTTGTATTCTATCGTTTTCCCTGAAATATTTCTTTTTTCAAGCCGGTTCTAATTAAATCCAAGCGTCCTATGCATGTTCTGTGATATATAACATTAATATTATTTAATATTAATTAATTCATAATTGTCCTTTTTTTTTTTTGCCAACATAATTGTCCTACACTCGTACTTATACTCCAACATAATTGTCCTACTAAAGCCGTGTAAGGTTCATTCATGGATTTTTTTTTTTTTTTTTTTTGTGCTCCTTCCGGTTGAATGCGATGATAACGTCGGCTTCAATAGTATAAATATTCGAAATTTTTATTTTTACAACTTTAGTGCTGCAAGCAATGTTTCAATTATTTTAAGAAGGACATATGCTAAGCTACTTTATTAATTTAATTTGATGTTTTCTATTATATACTACCTCTGATCTTTAATATAAAATCTACTTAACTAATTTGGATAAATTGTCAAAAAGTGTATTAATCTCTTTAAAATATCTTCTTAAATCATCTGCATTAAAATTACTCCTCAATACACGTTTTCTTAATATGTTTAATCAATAGATATAGTTTAGAAAAACATGATAAATATGATAGATAAAGTGAATTAAAATTTTATATTTAAAACCAAATCAAGCTCCCAATTACCTCTGATATTAAGAACTAAGGATAGTGTATCTAGTTGAACACTTGATTAGATTTTTTTTTTTAATTTCACCGAGCCAGTTAATAGTTGCATTTAAATATCATTATTGTACAAATAAATCACAAACTAAAGGCAAGACGTTTTTTAGTTATGCCGTTGAGATCAACCTCTCAGCCAATGAATTATTTATTTTGATAATAAAAAATTATCTCCTAATTATTTCGAATAACATGATATTTGACTTAGTGGTTGAATATTTAAAGAAATAAAAAAAATATCTTAATTAAGAAAATTGTTTATGCAAGAAATCTTGAGCATATCGCGGATATTAGAGATATTCAGCGAATAACTGACGCAGATTACAAAAAGAAAATTGGACACTGAGATGTCAAAAAAGAAACAAGTGAAATGCTAGCTTGAACCTAAAAGAAGAAAAAGTATGTTAAAGCTAGCTTGGAAAATCGAGGAGTCCTCTCACAAGATGCAAATTGAGGAATATAAATTGTGAGGAGTCAGCATCAGAAACATATAGCATAGAACTTATGAGGAAACGGACAAAGTCAATGCCATTGACGTGCTCCTATCTTGTATAGTATAGCATTTTATATGTCTTTGGTGCGGTTTTTACTATGTATTTTGGCCATGATTACATCATATATGCTTTATTATGATCCAAGAGTAACCGCATGAAAATAACATTAAAAGGGTAAAATTGTCATATTTATCATGGGGAGTTATCCTAGCTTGATTCATCTTCTCCTTATGCATTCTAATTTTTCCCAGTCTTAGATTTATCATTGTACTGTGTTGAGATTTGAGTTCCTTTCACGGTTTACTTCATGGATTAGCATCTTTGAGATTTGGAATTGGTTTGTGTAGATTGGATGCTTGAACTATATATGTTAATATATGTCTCCTATTTGAGTTCTTTGATGATTATGTTATTGGCATGTTCTTGTTTGATGATGTGACTATTGCTAAAGGAACCAACTACACTTTGTCAATCCAAATTGCATCATTTAAACTCCCATATCATTCAATTGAACTCGGATGGCTCAAGTCTCTTTCTCAACAGGTTTTCATTCATTGCATTCCCTAAATCCAGTCAATTTCCATATCATTCCCTTTTTATTAAACAAAAGATAAAAAACAAGTAGCATTAGGATTTGAATCAGTTTTTGATAAATCATATCAAACCCTATTATATTTATGTTTTTAGCACATGGTAATCATATCAAACCATATTATATTTATGTTTTTAGCACTCAGTTAACTTAAAACTTTAAATAAAAGGCTTCTCAATAAGTGAACAACTCAAATTATGCTATATTGTATAACTTGGAAATCTTATTTCAAATTTGACTCCCAAGCACACGACAAAGAGGTTTAATCAGCTAAATGAACAGATCACTCTCTTACGACATGGATATTTTATTCGAATACACAGAATCAATATTTTATGGGTTACAACATAAACAGACTCCATATTTGAAGCAACAAATACAAGCATTGTTGATAATTTATTGAAACACTCATCCAGAAATACAACAAGCCACATTTTATATACAACCTTTGAGACGAATCAAAAGTCATCCTCCTCGTGATCCATCAGCTCCCACGAACCATCTAATTGTTGAACCATTCCCTTATTTTTCTCAACCCACCATAACTCAGGAACAAGATTTTCATCTTTTAAAGCATCTGTATCCTTGTTCACAAGTGCAATATCACGATTCACCTCCAATTCAAAGTCTCCATCAAGTCCATGTGTTCCTGCAACGCCGTGCAAGTAACACTCCAACATATGCCAAGTAATGATATTCCCTGGACTCTTCAAGTACGGTGATTTCTGAGTATTCATTATTAGTTCTTCACCCACATCCAAATAGGGCAAAGTGGGATAGTTTGGAACAATGTCAAGAATATTCTTAATTCTTAAAGCTCTTAGATCTTCCAAGCCAGTGAAAACCCTATTGAAGTTCAGTTCTCCAACTCGAGGGCTGGCATATAGAAAGGCTGTGACAGGACATGCTTTTTCTGGCACGTTTGTTGGCTTGTTATAGCCATTTTGAGCTATGTCCACTGCGTTTAGGGTTGCCATTGCACCTCCTAAACTATGCCCAACTACAGTTATGCTGATTTCTTCATCCTTGTATAGATCTACAAGCCTTCTTATCTCACTTAAGACCTGCACATAAAGCATTCATTACTATCATCAACATGTCTAAAACTACAGCCGTCAAAATAGGCCAAACCTATCGGGCCAACATGTTTAAGCCCTTGTAAGTGAAGAGCCCGGCTTGTATTTTAAGAGGTTCAAAAGAAAATTGGGCTTCAGATAGTTAGCCCTTTATGGCTCAAAAATAAAAGAGTTAGCTCATTAGGGCCGAGGACCAATATTTTTTATTATTATTATCAAGATATTTATATAATTATGGATTACTCTTTTATAGATAAGTCTAAACTAGAAAATTATCTAATTCTTTCAAGGATAGCAGCTGATATTCTGAACATTTTAATCACCACATTAGCCTATGAATCTTTCTTTATCATCAATTTACATGTCTTTTATTTTATTCTAACAAATGTTGAGGCTCTCATTTGCACTCGTAACTACTGCATGGTTTTACCTTAAATAAGGGTTATGAAAACAAAAACTTTGATATTTTATCACTAAAGAAGAGTCCACTTGTGGTGAAGAACAATCAAATATTATTAATCTTGATTATGGTCATGATGATGAAGATAATAATGATGCTAATGTTGTTAGATAATAATGATGCTAATGTTGTTAATGTTTAGCTGCTTGCATTTTATATTTCTATTTTTCCTGTTTTATTTGGTTTTGGTTGTTTTTTTTTTCTGAGTTTGGATAATAGTTTAGTAGTGTTTGTTTTTTTTATACATCATTAGTGTATGTTACTAATATTATAATTTGAATAAAAAAATTTAAATTTTTTATTTTTTATTTCAAAATAATTGAAAAGAATTTAAATTTAAAAACTAAATAAAAGGTCTGGCTCTTTTAAGCCTCGAACCTGCATGTCTAAGGGCTGAGCTTTAATAATTTGATGATTTTAAGGTATGTAGGCTTTAAAAGGCCAACTCTTTTAGGCCCTAGCCCTTCAAGGGCTAATACTTTAGGGCCAGATTGGCCCTTATCGACGGCGCTATCTAAAACTATAAAGAGATGGTCGAATCTGAATAATCCTATGAATTTGAAGTGGTTGAAAATTTGAATGAGTTTACAAAATTTTAATAAACTCCATCCAACTACGTCCCAAGCTATCTTCATTGAAACTAAATCTATGTGAAATTCAACCAATTGACAACATATTTTAAATTGAGACTAACACTAAGATTCACAATTCAAAAAAAAAAACAAATTAAATACTCAATCCGATCCTAAATATAAGAGCTAGTAGGGTATTTTTCTTCGACCCCAAACGTAAGATATCAATTTACTTTATCTTCCAAATTTATATTTTTTTTCCTAAACTCTCCGAATTAGTTGCACATATTAAGAGGGTTTTCCATCAAATAAGTAGTTTCCAGTGCAAATAATTAAAAAGAATGCTTCAAGGAAATCAACAAATATTTTTTCACAAATTGCTGATTTAACTAATTTTTTTAATCTCCACAAATCATTAGTATAACTCAGTATCACAAATAGGCATTGGTCCAAGCAGATTCAGCTACTCTCATGTTGCGTTTTGACTTTCAGATTAGTTAGAGTATAACATGGATTACGATGATGAGTAGTTCTCTAAACAAAAGAAAAAGAAAGAAAACAAATACCTGATCTCTTGCACTAGTCGTGTTGAATGGAGAATCAGGATTGTCTGAAGTGTACATAGAGTACCAACCCTGATGTACTTTAGGATCGATTAACCCAGAACCGCCAAAAATTATAGGAGCAGGAACCAACAGAAACTGGAAATCATTAATCCACTCCAACGTTTTTATTGTTCCTCTCCAAGCAATTACAATATCCCTCCTTCCTAACACAGCTTTGCCTTCATCCGTGGCCACAGCAACATACCCTATCCAGTTTGATTCCCTGCTCCAAGCTTCCGGTGACAATGATCGTATTATAAAAGCTTCAGGAACAGCGATTTGTGCTGTTGCATACAAATACTTGGTCACACTATACTTGAAGGGATTCCCATTCTCCAAACCCACCCTTGTGAACAAGTTCCTCTTGGCGTACTTGCTTGCTCCTGCAAACTTGGAAGCTTTTTCTGAGATGAAAGTATCATAAGTGGCTTGTGTTCTTTCTCCATAGTGGATTATGTACCTTCGGAGATCAATATCAAGAGGGTTTAGAAGACCCTCCCAATGATCTTGTCCACTTAGTATTCTCCATCTTTGGGAAATGCTCATCTTTGTGATTCTGTGTGAATACTTGTCATCTACCGCTTGCAATCTTGCTTTTTATAGATAGGTATTTACTCACCTGAAGAATTATTTTTGAATTGTCTGACTTTCGCCTCTTTTGAATTCTTCAACCCTTTACTTCAATATCTTTTGGGTGCTGGTCGCATATAAAGTGGTGTTCATTGTTTAGTTATTATCATTTTGAGATAAACAAATAGGTTCCGTAAGCAATAATTAAACATGATGCATATTTTTGAAATGTTACAAATTGCCACTCTTAATTAGTAGATCTTGACAGCAAATTAAGCATTTATTAACAAACGCCAACACTTCAATAATTTACAGTAAAGAAATTTTGGTGACAAACAGGTATATATTCACCAATATTAATAGCTGTCTTGATGTAAACTGAACAATAATTTGGAGGAATATTCTAGTGATATATTCTATATTCAATATAGTTTATATTATCTATTCAAACGAAGCAGATTTCTCTCTACCGGAACCAATTTCAGTGCTCATCGCAATAGCAAGCATCATGATGCTCATCAAATCTCAACCATTCAAATTTAATATAGATGGTTGAGATTTAATATTTAATGTTTTTGTTATTCAAAAAAAAATATTTTTTTAATATTTAAATAATTGAAAATAAATGTAATCTCTTAACTGTAAGTTTTTTAAAACATAAATTTTTTATTTAAAAGTTATTAGTTGAAAAGTTTAAATCTAGACTATTAAAACCGATGTTGAATGGTTTATATTTCACTCTAACGGTAAGCATCACAGTGCACATCACTGTGATTCACTGTGATGGGTACTGAAACTAGTTCTGATCTCTACCAAATATGATCATCATATCCCATAGAATTATCTGACAAAGAATTATAAATTAAGAATTCTAAGATGTTTTCAGGGATGGTGCATCCAGAAATTTAATTGGGTGACTAAAGTTTTATTGCGAGAAAGAAATAAATCCACAGTGTAAACGGACAAAACTAAAGGGCAAATATTACAATGGTTAACGTTAATTTTCCTAAACTTCTTCAAGCGTTGTGTTTTTTAGACTCGTAATGAACAAATATAGTTGACTAAAAGATATAAACATAGAAAAAAAAACATGTTAGCAGTGACTTCACAAAATTTGAAGAAAGAAAACTAGACTTCAGGAAATCTTTTTAGGGATGGCGTGACGTGACCAGAAATGTTTAATTATTATTATTAATAGTGCATTACTTTTAAATTCTTTCTGTGGTAGCACAGTATCATTATACATTTTTTCCCATGTTTGTCCTTTTGGCAGAGGACACCTGGTAAAATAAAATTTTTGGGCCAGATTATAAAATACATAGGATCTAATCAATATTTTTCCCAATTGTTTCTGGCTCGGGAGTATTTTACAAATTATTGCCACCTAAGGCTGACAAGGACCAGCCACCCAAGGATCTAATTACTATGTGTGGTGTGGTGTCTTTTTACAAACAAACATACGTGATAAGATAAATACACCTTCAGTCCTTATTATGAATGATTCAAAGCAAATGAGGGGTATTTTAAGAAAAACAACATACATTTATTGCAAATTACGAATTTTAATAATTTTTTTAATATTTATAAATTAGTTACTTAACACTTTTATTGCGAACTGACTTGGTCTAATCCTAATTTATTTTCCTATGGCATTGATGAAGAAATACATTCCCCATATGCATTGTTGGTTCATTTTACTGGAAAGGGATGGAACCTCCCCAGAGAAGATACATATTGGACGTGGGAAGGAAAAGACTTAGACGAATTTTAATCATCAAATCATGCTTCTGCTTAAATCAACATTCTTGAATCTTAATCATTAAAAACATTTTCTTTTTTACTTTTCGCTTTTGTTTTCAATCCCAGAGTTAGAATTTATTAATTTGTCCCAACTAGGAAATGGAGTCATTAATACATATAGAAATTAACCTGGTTGTCGAAAAACTTTAAGCATCACAAAAAGGAGTAAATCAAACAATGGCAGGCAGGGGGAAAACTCAAACAATAATGGAACATTTCATTCCATCTAACCCCTTAGCAGCCAAACATATCCCTAACGATAGTGGAAATTGGATCATATATTAAATGAATCCCTTCTTTTTGGTTGGCGAAAAAAAAAATCAACCCCTTCTTTTGTCCCTGAATATAAGTCCCAATAGACCAATACAGGTTCTTAAGCCGGCAAAAGAAAAAGAAAAATACAGGTTTCTAAGTGTAATTAACGTATATGCTTCCAAAAATACCCATGATAAAGAATCTAAACTACCTATATCACCCTTAATATTTAGAAATATACTCTTTCTCATGACATTTAAATATTTAAGAATGGAACGAAAAAAATTAATTTTACATATTATCGCATGTGGGAGGGGTGGGGTAAAAGTATTTTATACTACCTCATGTACTTAATATAAAAGCTAGTTTGAGATTCAATTTGGTTCTAAATATAAAACCCTAATCTATTTTGTCTCATATTTATTCAATTTTTTTCAAAGTAGCTCTTGTAACATGCTAAATGTTTTATTAAATGGTAGTTTTAATTAATACACATGATTAGCAGGCGTATTTTAAGAAAAACAATACCTATTTATTACAAAGGGTTAATATAAATTTTGGTCCCTCAAATTTGGGCCCAATTTGGTATTGGTCCCTGAAATTTAAAACGTGTGGTATTGGTTCCTCAAATTATGTCCGTTTCAAACCATTGGTTCCTGGCATCTTGGCACCGTTAAATTCTGCTGACATGGCATTAACACCATTAACCGATGAGTTAGACATTTAGGTGGCATATGATCTGGACATGAACTGATGAGTTAGACATATAGGTGGTATATGACCTGGACATGAACCGGAAAAAAAATGACAAGTCAAGATTCAGAATCAATGTCTAGGTATGAAAGGCTCTTAAACTATTTGAAACCCTAACTTAAACCATGTGCGCTTCAAACCCTAGCCATGGAAATTAGTTTATTCATGTTGCTTGATGATTCTATATTGTTGTTTCATGAGTTGCTTTGTTACTACTAAATTTTGCAACAGTTGGATTATTATTAGGTGTAGAGAGAGAGGGAGTGAGAGATGTCATCGTTGACGAACCCACCATCGTGTGCGGCCTGCAAGAAGCAAAGGAGGAAATGCATGCCGGGATGCATGTTTGCGCCATATTTTCTGGCAGAAAACCCTCGGAAGTTTGCTTGCATACACAAGATTTTTGGGGCAAGCAATGTGGCCAAGATTCTGAACGATGTTAACATGGCGTAGCATGAAGACGCTGTCAGATCCTTAGCGTATGAAGCTAAGCCCCGTCTCTAAGACCCGGTGTACGGCTGCTTCGGCATTATCTTCGTCCTCCAGCACCGCCTGAATCAGCTGGGTAGTGAACTCATGGATGCTAGAAAAGAACTCACCACCTACATTGACTAGCAGGCCTTGCTTCCCAACCAGGTAATGGGATTCAATTGGCAAGAACTTTTGACTTTCAACTTTGCCGGAGGCAGCGGCCATAACAAATACCCACCGGGCCAAACCCATGTCTTTCATCGTTAGGTCAAAGCACATCATCAGTGCGAGGTGCAATCTCAACAATGGATGTTGTCACAAAAAAGTATAGGTCCATATACCCGTGCATTACATGGAATCTGACAATTTTTTTAAGAACAGAAATAATTTGTTGATCTGAATCTTGACCTGTCATTTTTTTTCCGGTTCATGTCCAGGTCATATGCGACCTATATGTCCAACTCATTGGTTAACAGTAGAGCCGGTAATATGGGCCAACCCGCCGATTATGGGTTGGCTCGTGGCGGGCCTGAAGCTTGGCGGGCTGGGCTTTTTAGGACCGTTTTCTGACGGGCTGGAATTTTTTCAACCCAGCCCGCTAGGGTGGGTTGGCGGGTTAGGCCCGCCAACCCGCCAAATTTTGTTTTTTGTTTTTAACTTTTTTTTAATAAAACCTACTCAAAGTCCCAAATTCCTAACTATCTAAAATAAAACATGCAAATAGAAATTATCATAAATAAAACATGGAACCCATCCAAAGTTCCAAGTTTCAAGTTTCAAATATATTAAAATGTTAAACATATGATTAAATGAACATGATATGTCCTTAATAATTTAACAAACATCTCAAATTAAAACATAAATCCAAATTAACACTACCACAAAGTCACAAACACAATGTCACTACACAAATCACTATCAAGTATCAACTATCAAGTGCTCAATCATCACTCATGAGCTAGGGCAAAGGCGCAAAGCAAAGACAAAGAGCAGAGAGCTTGGGGCTTGGGACTTGGAACTTGGGAGTTAGGACTGGCCGAGGGCGATTGGGAGACTGGGTTTGGGAGAGTTGGGAGTCTGGAAGGAGTGCGACACGCAAGCAAAATGTGAAAATGGGACCGTGTTGGTGTTGCCGTGTTAGATTATTGGACATGGACTGCTCACTATTGCACTGTGGACTAGGCTAAGAGTGTAGAGACTAAGAGGCAAAGGGAAAAATTTGCCAAAAAAAAAAAATGGTTAAACGGGTTGGCCCGCCAACCCTGCGGGTTAGCCCGCCGCGGGTTTGGGCTTGGCGGTTATGGGCTCAAAACTTCCATTTTAAAATGGTCCTAATTTTTATCAACCCAACCCGCCACTTGTTGGCGGGTTGGTGGGTTGAGCCCCATATTACCGGCTCTAGTTAACAGTGTTAATGCCATATTAGTACAATTTAATGGTGCCAAGATGCTAGGGACCAACGGTCTGAAACGAACATAATTTGAGGAACCAATACCACACGTTTTAAATTTCAGGGACTAATACCAAATCGGGTCCAAATTTGAGGGATCAGAATTCGTATTAACCCTATTACAAATAATTAACCTAACTAATTTTCTTAATCTACTAGCTCTTATATTAAGGACATGAGGTGATATATTAGTTAATTTTTAATCAAATTAAGGACTTTAACATTGAACAACAATGATATAGAATGAATTATTGCCATCATCC